TTTTTAATATCTCTTAGAGAGCATTTCAGGTGTCACATACCACCTATACATCATTTTATAGAAATGTGCTAGTTTTTAATACCAGAGAATGCACCTCTCTAGGAATGTCTGGATGTTGATTAAAGAATCACAACTGAAGAACTAACGTTTCCTAGAGAGATGTTATCTCTAGGCCTTTGTAATCCTCCATCATTATCTTATGATCAACTTCTGACGGAAGTCCTAGAGAACTTAAAGATTCAGAGAGAACATTTTTTTAATCATATTTGCAAAATCAAACCTCCAGGCGTGGAGATCTGACTGTAAAATATATATTATTTCCCTATCGTTGTCCATTCTATGTTAATACTAACATTTTAATACAACCATGTGAAAAACAAAACAAAATAAAATAGAACAACCCACAGGGGATCCACATAGTTCTCCGATAATAACAACTTCTGTGCTTTAAATCTGACTGCAGAACACCCAGGTGACTAAGAGCAACCATTTAAAGAACTATATAAAATCCTTCATTTCCCTTCAGGAAAGCTTCAGAGTTGGAATGTAGAGAGATACCTTAAGGAGAGCGATAGGGGGATTTACTAGTCTCTCTAAGGACTTCCAACTATACAAGTGAAAAGAAGGAAATTTATAAACCAGATTGAATATTCTGTATGTGTAGAAATCTATAGAACTCTTTTTCTCGACTATCCCAAAAGGCAAAGCAAGCTGAAGTGAGTTCAAGAGCTGGTTTACCTTCACTCTTTGACCTAGTGGCAAGTAAAAGGACTAGCTATGGTTCCTTGCCTGAAGGAAGGAGTTATATTTGTTGCCTCCCTGTTATTGTTTTATTTAATCCCCACCCCTCAGTACTGGGAGAGAGTGCAATATGAGAGTTAACTGCTTCCTCTCACTATATACACCAGAAGATAAAAAGGATAAACTCAGACTGCAGCTAGGAGACATTACTGCTTCCCCCAGGCAAGGAGCTATTTCTGTTCCTTTGATGGTCTACTTGTCAAAATCATCACCCCATCAAATGCCGCACTTGCATTCAGATTATTGCTATTTAGTAATCCCTCCCTTAGCTTTATTGTTAGTTCAGTTAGTGCACTTATATCCGACTGTTTCTTTCTTTTTTTTTAGGAAAAAGAGCAGTTTCCATAGGTTCCCAGTCTGATTCAAACCACTGGCCATAGTTGGATGGGCTTAGCTTTGCCAAGATTGTAGTATTGTGTTTCCTAACAGCATCCATGGATTAATGTGCTTATTTCTCTGCATGGATTCAGTGAAGCTAATTGTGAGGGTTTCATTATCTAAGCTATTGCCAAGAGTGCAGTAACACATGGAGAAAAAGTTTTTGTTTTTCTTAGTTTCGAGCCATTAACATAGACACAAAAAGCAAATGGAACTACAGTGCAAGGACCAGATATAAAATACAATCATAGAATCAAAGAGTTGGAAGAGACCTCATGGGCCATCCAGTCCAACCCCCTGCCAAGAAGCAGGAACAGTGCATTCAAATCACCCCTGACAGATGGCCATCCAGCCTCTGTTTAAAAGCTTCCAAAGAAGGAGCCTCCACCACACTCCAGGTCAGAGAGTTCCACTGCTGAACAGCTCTCACAGTCAGGAAGTTCTTCCTCATGTTCAGATGGAAACTCCTTTCTTGTAGTTTTAAGCCATTGTTCCGCGTCCTAGTCTCCAGGGAAGCAGAAAACAAGCTTGCATTTGTCACACCTTCCTTTTAGCATGAGGACAAGGCGAGCCATCACGTTCTCATGCTGAGAGGAGGGCCCTCCCAACTGCCCAGAGGAGTCACGTGTCAGACACCGGCACTCGTTAGCAGATCAGGCTACATACTTTGAAAAACCACAACTCCCAGGATTCCATAGCCTTGAGATGTGGAAGTTAGAGTGGGGCTCAAACACAAGAATTTTGCCCCCCCCCCCCGGCCAACTGCCACTGTCCAGCCCCCCATGAACCCCACCCAGCGTGTGCTCCCTCCCTTCCATCCTGTTAAATTTTAAAACACAATGCAGCCCCAATGTGAAAAAGTTTACTCAGGTCTGGTCTACACTTAAGGATAAATGCAGATTGGCACTGTTTTTACTGCCATGGTTCAGTATGATGGAATCCATGGATATGCAGTTTGGCAAGGTACCAGCACTCTGTCAGAGAAGGTGAAAGCGCTTGTAAAACTACAGCTCTTGTGATCCCAAAACATTGAGCCTCAGCAGTTAAGTAAAGGTAAAGGTTTTCCCTAACATTAAGTCTAGTATTGTTCGACTCTGGGGGATGGTGCTAATCTCCATTTCTAAGCCAAAGAGCCAGCGTTGTACCTAGACACCTCCAAGGTCATGTGGCCAGCATGGCTGCATGGAGCGCTGTTACCTTCCTGCTGAAGCAGCACCTATTGATTTACTCAAATTTGCGTTTTTGAACTGCTAGGTTAGCAGAAACTGGGGCTAACAGTGGAAGCACACCCTGCTCCCAGGATTCAAACTACTAACCTTTCAGTCAGCAGCTCAGTGGTTTAATCTGCTGTGCCACCAGATCGCTACCAGGGGGCAGTTAAGGAGTTGAATTAAATTCAGTTTGACACCTCTTTTAACTTTGAATGTGTTTTTAGTTAAGTTTAATGGATTTTAACAGTGATTTTCTTTAACTCCAAATGTGTTTTCAGTAAGTTTTACAGATTTTTTTTAAAGCACCAGTGATATTATTTTCTGTTTAAATGTTTGCATATTTGTAGATTTCAAATAGTATTGAAATGCTGGGTTATTGTGAGTTTTCCAGGCTATATGGCCATGTTCCAGAAGCATTCTCTCCTGATGCATCTATAGCAGGCATCACTAGAAGTTGTGACCTCACAACCTTTTGAGGATGCCTGCCAAAGATGCATGTGAAGTGTCAGGAGAGAATGCTTCTGGAACATTGCCATACAGCCCAGAAAACTTACAACAACCCAATGATTCTGGCCATGAAAGCCTCTGTATTTAAATGCTTTTTAAAGTAAGCTGCTTTGACTCTCCTTTGTGGAGGGAAAAAGCAGGGTATGAGTGAAAGGGGGGGGGGGGGCAGAAGAGAGTTTCATCTTGTCTCCTGTGCTATGTTAATAATATAATATAATAAAATATATTGTAAATACATATAACATTTATAATATTATAATGTAATGCAATATATTACTACTACTAATATATTATAATTATATATTTATATTACATGTAATATTACTATTAATATTACAATATAATGGTATAATACAATATAGTAATATTTAATACTGATATTGTACTATACAATGGTATTCCCCATAGTCAGCTACGGATGTGAGAGCTGGACCTTAGGGAAGGCTGACAAAGGAAGATAGATGTTTTTGAACTGTGGTGTTGGAGGAAAATTCTGAGAGTGCCTTGGACAGCAAGAAGATCCAACCAGTCCATACTTCAGGAAATTGGAGGGAAGGATAGTAGAGGCAAAGATGAAGTACTTTGGCCACATCATGAGAAGAAAGGAAAGCTTAGAGAAGACAATTGTGCTGGGGAAAATGGAAGGAAAAAGGAAGAAGAGCCGACCAAGGGCAAGATGGATGGATGGTATCCTTGAAGTGACTGGATGACCTTGAAGGAGCTGGGGGTGGTGACGGCCGACAGGGAGCTCTGGTGTGGGCTGGTCCATGAGGTCACGAAGAATCGGAAACAACTGAACGAATGAACAACAACAATTGTACTATGCTAATAATATAATATATTTTATGTAGCCACTCCGAGCCCCAGGAAGCTGCTCCGAGCCCCAGGGGAGTGGCGGCATATAAGTTTAAATAATAAATAATAAAATGTATATATATCTTGTAAGCCGCTCTGAGTCCCCTTCGGGGTGAGAAGGGCGGCATATAAATGCTGTAAATAAATAAAAATAATAAATAAGCCGCTGTGAATTTCCTTTGGGGTGAGAAGGGCGGCATATAAATGTCATAAATAAATAAACACAATAATAATATGTATTGTCGAAGGCTTTCATGGCAGGAATCACTGGGTTGTTGTAGGTTTTTTTGGGCTGTATGGCCATGGTCTAGAGGCATTCTTTCCTGACGTTTCGCCTGCATCTATGGCAAGCATCCTCAGAGGTAGTGACGTCTGTTGGAACTAGGAAAAAAGGTTTATTTATCTGTGGAATGGCCAGGGTGAGACAAAGGACTCTTGTCTGCTGGAGCTAGTCCTTGGTCTCACCCTGGTCATTCCACAGATACATAAACCCTTTTTCCTAGTTCCAACAGACCTCACTACCTTTGAGGATGCTTGTCATAGATGCAGGCGAAACGTCAGGAGAGAATGCCTCTAGAACATGGTCATACAGCCCGAAAAACCTACAACACAATAATAATAACTGCTGTGGCTCAAAACTATGGAATCATGGGAGTTGTGGTTTTAGATCTTTCTATTAGAAAAGCGCTGGTGTTTCACCAACTACAACTCCCAATATTTGATAGCACTGAGCCTTGACAGTTAAAAGAGATGTTATGATGCATCAGTGAGGATGAACCCAAGGTGGCTACCTAAATGAGTTAATTCTACAGTGTGTAGAACAGTCATGGGCAAGCTTGGGCCCTCCAGGTGTTTTGGACTTCAACTCCCACAATTCCTAACAGCCTCGGGACTTTTCCTTTCCCCCCTCAGCCGCTTAAGGAGAAGGCCCGAGGCTGTTAGGAATTGTGGGAGTTGAAGTCCAAAACACCTGGAGGGCCCAAGCTTGTCCATGCCTGGTGCAGATTTACTTTTAGTGCTTATTCTATGTGGGCGCCCGAAAGGGCTGTAAGGAGGGCCTTCCTTGTGCCCTGGGATAAAGGCGGCAGGAAAGGCCTCTAGTGCAGGCCTCCCAAGCCTCGCCCTCCCTGGCCCCCCGCCCGCGCCCTCCCACCTCTCAGCTTGGCGAACTTCTCCAGCCTCTCGCGGGTGGCCTGTTGCAGCCCGAGCTCGGCCTGGCTTAAACCCTGCATGGCGCCGCCGGCCCCTTCAGCCCTCGCCTCGGTGGCTTCCGGGTGGACTCGAGTGGGCCGGGCCTAGTAGGCCGCAAGGAGGAAGCAAGCCCGTTGCCAAGGTAACCGGAGCCCGTTGCCAGGGTAACCGGGAGCCGCGCGGGGCCGAAGTTTGCTTACGCCTCTACTGTCACTGCAAGGCATTTTTTTAAGGGGAAGACTAATAGATAGAGAGAAAAAACCCATAGCACGTTGAACTTGGGTCAATACAAAGAGCAGAGAAAGGTGAGCAGACTTTTCTGAATATTGGTATAGAATAGACCCCTCTCTCGCTCTCTCTCTTTAAATTGATGGGAACCATAAACATCTTATTTGTGAGAGGTGTCCAAAGAAGACTCCTTTTCAGTGTTGTCACTATGGTTGGTGTCTCCCCCTCTTCAACCACACCATACAGTATGAGGTTTTTGTTTTTTTAACTTTTGCATAGTTTATATTTATTTTTCTATATTTATCGTGTCAAAAGCAAATTGAGAATACAGTTATAATGTATTAAAAACCTCACAAACAAAGTTAAAAGCTTGGCATTCTACTAAATGTCCTTTGAGCAGAAGCTGGCCACTTCGAGTACTGTGAGAAGGTCCTCCATTGTGCATGTGGCAGGGCTTAGGCTGCATTGTAGCAGGTGGTCTGTGCTTTTGCCGCACGCGCATGTCATGGACTCCACTTTGTGGCCCCATTTCTTAAGGTTGGCTCTGCATCTTGTGGTGCCAGAGCACAGTCCGTTCAGTGCCTTCCTTCCATGTCGCCCGGTCTTCTGTGTGCCCAAGAGGGAGTTTCTCATCCATTTTCAGCTACTGATTGAGGTTTGTGGGATTTAACCTGCCACTTTTGGACTCTTGCTTGCTGAGGGGTTCCTACCAGTATCTCTGTAGATCTTAGGAAGCTGTTTCTTGATTTAATGTGTTGGCTTGCTGGTTGATATTTGAACAGAGGATGGCTCAGAGATGTCAGTGCCTTGGTCCTTTCATTGCTGGCTGCTACTTCCCAGCGGATATCAGGTGGTGCAATACTGGTTAAACCAGGCATGGGTAAACTTTCTAACTTGGGGCCACAGGCGGGCCGGAGTGGGGTAGGGGGGAGGCAGGAGGGAGGTGGTTCTCCCCAAGCCCCCTCCATGCCCTTTCCTCCCCTTTCACTTCTCTTTCGGAGGCAGAAAGTGAAGGAAAGATGAGAAACGTTTGGCTCTCAAAGGGGTTGGCCTTGGTCAGATGAGATGGCGGACAGGGGAGAAAAAGTGTATCCATTAGACCCCATATTGCCTACTCCTGATATATAATCCTAGCACCCAAGTGACCCCAAGATCCATCCAGTCCAACCCCCTGCCATACAAGAAGGCACAATCAAAGCACTCCCAATAGACAGCCTCTGTGGAAAAGCCTCCAGAAAAGGAGATTCCACCTCACTCGGAGGCAGCCTATGCCGCTTTCCAACAGCTCTTACTCTCAGGAAGTTCTTCCTAATCTTTTCAGTCAAATCTCATTCCCTGCCATTTGAAACCATTACTTCCTTGTTCCCCGGTCTCTAGAGCAGCAGAAAAATCAGTTTTCCCCTCCTCCTCAATGGGACACACTTTGAAATCTTGAAAAATGATTCTCATGTTCCCTCTCTACCTTTTCTTCTCCCAGCTAAACATCCCCAAGGAGGAAAGAAAAAGAGAAGGAAGGAGGGGTAGAAGGGAGGGAGGGAAGTAAGGAAGGAATGACTCAAATGCCACTTGGAAATAAACTTAGAAGCAGATAGATGTACCCTCAGCCGCTGAGAAAGTTCCACATTGATTATGCTGGCACTGAAAAGGAGAAACAAGCAAATCACCTTCTCTCCTTCAGGTCAGAAACCAATGAACGGCAGCAATTTTGGGTGAAAAGCACATTTCCCAAGCTTCCCAATATGAAGTTAGAGTGAGATCATAGATAAACCGCTTATTTATTGTAAACCGCTTCGAGTCGCCTTTTTAGGCTGATATTTGCGGTATACAAAAGAAGTAAATAAATAAATAAATAAATAAATAAGCAACAGACACATTATGTACACTATGTAACAGGATCTTTGTTCCTGGGTTATAAATGTCATTTCCTCATTGATTCTATCGTAAAAACATGGAAAAGGTGTATTAAATTGCAAAAACTTTGTTTTCTGCAGAACATCCTGCAGTACATTTTTGCTATACTTTTTATCAATGAATATCTCATCAAGTCGCAACCAATTCAACATAGTTTGTGGCACCCCCAAAAAATGAAGTTTCTGGAGTATAGCAACTACTTTCAAAGTACAATGAAATAGGAATAACATTTTCAATCCAGGAGCAATTTTATCAAATTTTGTTACATAGTGTTATAAGTATAGTTGAACTGTTATTCCCTTTGTCTTCCACAACTGACTCTGTTGGCTAAGGCACATAACAGCTGAATTCCAAAAAGTATGGCTCTCATATCCACAGTTTCCCTTATTCATGCAACAAAATATTCCTCCTTGGAAGTGTTTGTGGGCATCTCAAATAAAACCCTATGATATACTTCTGGTCCATATATAGCCAAACCAATAAGGTTAACTATTCTCCATAGCTTCAGGTGTCCCTAGAGGGCCTTGGAATGTCCCCTGCAGATATGAGGGTTGTACGATAATGATTTTTGTACTTTGTTACTTGCCCACCATAGTTTCCACATTTCATTGAATGTAATGACAGAATCAGCAACTATGAAAAAAAATGGAAGCAATGCCCCAAATACCCCCAAAGCCATTAGATCCTGACTGATCCTGACTTCAAAGTTAAGCAGGACCAATTCTGGTTATTAATATTTCATGTCAGGAGCGACTTGAGAAACTGTAGGTTGCTTCTGGTGTGAGAGAATTGGCTGTCTGCAAGGACATTGCCCAGGGAATGCGCTGAAGTTTTTTTGGTTTTTTTTACATCCTTGTGGGAGGCTTCTCTCATGTCCCTGCATGAGGAGCTGGAGCTGATAGAGGGAGCTCATCCGCCTCTCCCCGGATTCGAACCTGCGACCTGTCGGTCTTCAGTCCTACCGGAGCTGGAGCTGACAGAGGGAGTTCATCTGAGCCGGATTCGGTCATCAGTCCTACTGGCACAAGAGTTTAACCCATTGTGTCACTCTGGTTAATCCTTGGATTAAAGATCACCAATGAATACCAAGTCCTATAGACTATATTTCAGAGGAAAGGACTGTAAAAACATCTCTTGCGTGCTCCTTAATAAAATATTATTAAATTTATTGGGTTGCTATATGTTGATCCCCACTATTCTACAAATGAGAAAAAGCAAGTGAACAGGCAAAACTTGATAGCTGTTCCCTCAATGAAAAACAGCTACCTCTCTTTTTGTACCATTCTTCCCTCTGGTTAGCCTCTCTGGTCTCATTCGTGTTAGGATCATTGTACTTTGCCCCATGTAGAGAGCGGGCAAATTTCCTAATGGAGAAGACAGGTGAGCTATTAGAGACAGTGGCATGCAATCCTTGTATACATGTTGCTTAATCTTGCATTACATAAGTGTAGTGTCTTCCCTTCTACAATACAAACAGTTGTGTATGAGTCTTAAAATAGAGTGGGCATCAAGTAGCCCTCCAGATGGTGCTGGACTGCAACTCCTTGCATTATTCATTGTTGGCTAGTCTGGTGAGAATAGATGAGACTTGGATATCAACATTTGAAGGACTGCACTTTACTTTTGTCTGGTCTGCAAAGACCTGCACTTATATATGAGCAAATCTCTGCATATCTGTTGATTCACTGTGTAATTCTCTCCCTCCAATCCCATTTTAACTTCCCCCAGCCAGTAATATGGTTTAGTCTCAAGGTTACCCACTGAGCTTAATGGCTTCCTCGCAAATCCCATGGGAAAGTATTATTATACACAGAGTCTAAGGTGAAATATGTAGGAAAATAATTTCCTGTTTTTTAATGCTATTTATATAAACTGCTTATCTCTGAAGATTTCATAGTGATGTACAATAGTAATAAAATATACAATATAAAACTATACATGAGAAATGAGATACAGTGTTTACATTACACTGACATTATTCATAAAATAGATGGAAATAGAGTGAGCTTTTATCAGGAAGGCTTGCAAAAATAGGTGAGTTTTCAACAAAAGCTTAAAACTAAAAATAGTTGGATCTCTATAGTATCAGACGGGAAATATTTCAGGTAGTTGATGGATGGTAACTACATGGTTTCAAATGACTGCACAGTGAACTTTGCAGCAACTATTTACTTCAAATCCACAAAGTATATGGTATCTATTGTATAGTAACGTGGGCTTGCGATTTAATGATCATGAAAGTATATTTGTTTAGAACAACCTTTCCTTTACAGTTTTATTGAAATATTACCTTGTTGTCTGTCTAGTAAATATTTTCTTGGCAATATGTTGCTTATTTTCGCCACAAGATTCAATATGTAAAAGCAAACAAGTGTGCAGTCTTAGTATGTAAAGAACATCTTGCTATATAAAGGTATATGTGGATACCTCTTTTCTATATACCATTGCCTCTTTTATTTTATGGCAATTGACAAGTAGTTCTACTTCCTTCCTTTTTTAATTTTAAGAGTCAGATCAAATGTAGCCTTTGGGGGGATTATAAGAGTACAAAGTGCAAATGAAAGAAAATGAAGCACTGGTGCCCTTTGATATGGTCTCACTATACACACAAATCCTTCAATAAAGGAAGCCTTAAAATAAAGCAGAAGACTTCATAAAGAAGCACATGAAAAGTCATGAGACCCCAATCTTGGTCATAACAAAAAGACTTTTTTATCTACCTCTTAAAATAAGTGTTGAAATTGTAGATGCTGATGGTCTACATACTTCAAAAATAGAAGTAATATGTGTCTGAAATTTCGTCACTAATCCAGTAAATATTAATTTGACATCTCTTTAAACCATGACGAAGAAGGAGGACATGAGGTGGGTCTCACAAAATTAATTTAAAATATAGCCTCATTTAATTTATTTCTTGCACTGTTAAGGCTAGAGAAGTCAAATTACTTTTCTAGCAGATCTCCAGTGACCTAAGTGAGATTTTTGGCTGGTATAAAGTTTGGTTGGATTATAGTTTAAGGCTGAAATCTTATGCATACTTACCTGGAAGTAAGTCCTAATAAACTGAATGTGACATCCTACTGAGTGAATATATATATATATATATATATATGAGATTGCATTGTCAGATGCTCATTTCTATTGCTTAGTAAGGAACTGCCAAGGCATATTTATTAGGGCTGGGCGGTTTCGTTTCGTTAATTCGTAATTCGTTAAAAATTCGTTATTTTTTTTGTTAACGAAGCGATAACGAACCATTCTGGAGCAGCTTAAAAACGAAACGAATTTTTCAATTCGTTTCGTAAATGCTTTGCATTTCGTTTTGTATTCGTTTCGTTATTGGTTTGAGGTCGTTTCGTTATTATTTCCGCATGTCTGGGGCAAGTTTTATAGTTGTTTTTTGTTTAATTAGTGAAAAAAAATTATAATATCACACCAACAGTCAACAACAGAGGGAGAGGGAAGCTTCAGAAGTTCCCCCTGTCCCATTTGGAGGTTTTTTAGCGTATTGCGCGGTCGCGTCCGCCATTAACGAATCGATTCGTTCTTTATTGTTTCGTAAATGTTTTGTAATTTTTTTACCATTTACGAAATTTCGTAAATATCGAACTTTTTTTTAAAAAAAAAATTCGGAATTCTTTTAAATATCGAAACGCAAAAAAACCCCCAAAAACGAATCGATTTTAGAAACAAATTTTTCCGTTGTTACCCAGGCCTAATATTTATGCATTGAATCTTCAGTTGGAGGTCTCAAGGCTGGAGGATGGGAAAGGTATTCCCTACTTTGTTATCTGTGGGGATAGATAAGGTCTAGTTTCTCCAGTCCCTCTTTGCACCTCTGTGGGTTCAATATAGCTGGACATTGCTCTCATTCTCCTCTGCTTAGCAGTGAATATCAATTAGACTCCTTCACAATAATAATTTTTCTGGGGAATTGAGTTTGGAAGGTACAAAATAGCTCAGAACCCCCAGCCCTTTTTTTCTATCTTGATTTTCATATTAGCTCTGTGAGGATTTGGACTCTGGCTTGAAACATATCCAGCTTTTTCTCTCTTGAAATTGTTATTCTAGAAATAAACCATAAAATTATATCCAATTTTGGTAAAATAAATACTTTTTAAAAAACAGCATTTTACCTACAATTCCTAAATTCAATATTTAAAATGTTTACTACAATTTTGTCTTGCTTCAGTACTTTGTACTTTAAGAATTCTAGTTATTGTAAGGGCCATAAGAGGATAGGGAAAGCCTTGCTGGATCAGACAAAGGCCTGTCTAGTTTAACCGTCTACATTAATGTTGTTTTAACTTCATGGCTTTTATCTGCTTCCATTTACAGCATGCTCTGACCCACCACTGATGGATATGGGACAGGAAGTGTTCAGTCAATTTGCCATTTATCAGCAACACTCCACTGTTGGCTCCAAGCATATCCAAGCAGGGGAGTAGAGAATCAGCAAATATAATTCCAAAGTGCTGCAGGTAAAGGCATCCTATAAGGAGAACCAGCCCTTCCCAATCACTATTTTGTGTGGATGCTAAGAGGACTTCCATTGTGCCCCATAGTCTATGGCAAATTTGGGAGAAACAGAATTCTATTATATCTTCTAAATTGGGTTTGAACTCCCAGAAATATGGCCCATAGCTCTATATAGCTTCTTTCAACTCTTGACAAATATGTAGGACATAGGGATGATGGTATTCAACTGAAATTTGATTGCGGTAAAACAGGGGTACAGTGGGTAGAGAAATCAGCTTATCTTGATATAAGTATATAAGCTTTATGTAAGGGCTTGCACTCTCCTGCCCTGAATGATGAAATTTGCAACCTGGATGGGTCTTGTACACTTGATTAGTTGTGCAGGCATGGTGTGTGTGTGTGCTAGTTCAATTTAGCCGGTAAAAGCAGCAATCCTGCTTAACAAAACAAATGTACCTTCTGTACAGAGTGCATGGGTTACATTGGGACTTCAGTATTGTAATTTTTTATGTGTAAGGCTGTTTTTGAAGATGACGTAGTAATTCCAACTATTGGAGAATGTGGCTTCTCTTATGTACAAGGAGGTTCAAAATATATTAGTTTTTCTAGTTATTGCTAGATTTATTTGCCTGAGAGATAATGCTGATTTTGAATGTTAATGTTTAAATGATTTGGGTCCAGATTACTCAGAGGCTTGTCTCTTTCCATTCTTGGCATCAGTGGCATTATTTGTTGCCATGTTTTTAATATCATTGGTGCTTTGGTGGTCCATAGGCAGGGGTGTCAAACTCATTTTCATGGAGGACCACATCAGCCTTATGATTGGTTTCAAAGGGTTGTTTGTAATTGTAAAACTATATAGATGTAATTATATTGCCCTGGCATTGAAAGCCTTATGGACCACACCATTTTAATAATCATAATTGTAAACTTTATTTGTAGACAGCCCTATCTCCCCAAAGTCAGTAAGGCCATTTTTAACACATATGACAAATGTTCAATGCCAGCAAAGAAACATATGACAGAATTCATAAAAAAATGACACATCACAGAAAATGGAATAGCCATTACTATAAACTTAATCCCAAATAAAAATTAGCCAAAAATAAAACTAGACATTTTATGTTTTCTGTTCAACATGTGTGTCCTGCTGGTAGGAACTCACAAATAAAGGGTTGCTTTTTAGCCAAATTCATATGAGTTTTAAAACTCCAATTTTAATTGATTTAAAATCATATTTTGTTTGTAAAATAGCTGTTTTGCTATTAATTTATTGCTTTGGCTCTAAAGATTGCTATTTCATTTTGTTGTATTTTTATATATTTTATTTGTTTGTTTCCTTGTATGAATCTGGCCCAGAAACAAAGCACATAAATATTTGAGTGAATGATTGACTTAAGTAAATTATAATTTGATTGAATGAATAAAACATAGTTTAATATATTGTGTATATGTATTTCATTCTGTAATGGAACAATGGACGACGAATCTGGACTACGCTTGGATGATGAGAAGATTGGGTACGGTTGTTTTTTGTAATAATTGTGCATTGTAATTGCTTATTGGTAATTTATGGATAATGTGTTAAGTCAATTGTTATATGTTGTATGGAACCACTGCTGTTTCTACTGTTTCTACTGTTTGTGAACCGCTGTGAGTCGCCTTCGGGCTTGAGATACAGCGGTATATAAGCAAAGTAAATAAATAAAAATAAATAAAATATTACATTTATTTGCATTATCTTCTCATTTTGGCATAGTTGTTCTTTAAAAAAAGAATATACTAAAATCTTCAGATTGGCAATAGCTTTAAAATGCTCACATATTTTCTATACTATGTTAGATTCCCTCCCCCTTGTCTTCCCTGTTGTGGCTAGTTTTTCTATAGAGCAGGACGTATTATAACAAGCTGTTAGATATTTATTTAAGCTATTTGAAGTTTTTCTTATAAAAAGTAAAATAAATGTAACGTGCTGTGTAATCCTTTTTACCCTTTTAGATCTCTCATGGATAAACTGTAAAAGAGATAACAATGAAGGGGAGATTTACAGGCTACCTTGTGTCTGCTTCTGAAAATCTACTCCTTGAATATGGACAAACTGCTGATCAAAATAATCCAAAGAAACTACAAGATCTTGTTATGGTTAGGCAGCATGCTCAGTATATATGTGATCTGTGTGACATGCAATATTGTGTTTCGCTTAAAATATGTGATTTGTCTGGTAATTTCCTTACAAACATTGACGCGCTTGCATGTTGTCATCGTTTAATTAAACTGGATCTCCATAGTAATCAGGTGAGCAACAGTATTCTAAAAAGACAAATATGAAATAAATGTATCTGTTTTTTGTCAATAGATCATTGTTTCAAGTCTCATACAATGCTGCCAAGTTTCTCCATAGTTTAGTGTGTCTATTACTGCTAATGGTGTATGTGTGTTATATATAGAAGCCAGTAAGGTAGCACTTAATGTCTGCTATCACAGAAACACAGCTTTTTCACTACTGTAAATTTTTTATTTCTAGATTTACATGTTGTTGTTGTTCATTCGTTCAGTCGTCTCCGACTCTTCGTGACCTCATGGACCAGCCCGCGCCAGAGCTCCCTGTCGGCCGTTACCACCCCCAGCTCCCTCAAGGTCAGTCCAGTCACTTCAAGGATGCCATCCATCCATCTTGCCCTTGGTCGGCCCCTCTTCCTTTTGCCTTCCACTTTCCCCAGCATCATTGTCTTCTCTAGGCTTTCCTGTCTCCTCATGATGTGGCCAAAGTACTTCAACTTTGTCTCTAGTATCTTTCCCTCCAGTGAGCAGTCGGGCTTTATTTCCTGGAGGATGGACTGGTTGGATCTTCTCGCAGTCCAAGGCACTCTCAGCACTTTCCTCCAACACCACAGCTCAAAAGCATCGATCTTCCTTCGCTCAGCCTTCCCTAAGGTCCAGCTCTCACATCCGTAGGTTACTACAGGGAATACCATGGCTTTGACTAGGCGGATCTTTGTTTCCATTCTGATGTCTCTACTCTTTACTATTTTATCGAGATTGGACATTGCTCTCCTCCCAAGAAGTAAGCGTCTTCTGATTTCCTGGCTACAGTCTGCATCTGCAGTAATCTTTGCACCTAGAAATACAAAGTCTGTCAGGGCCTCCACGGTTTCTCCCTCTATTTTCCAGTTGTCAATCATTCTTGTTGCCATAATCTTGGTTTTTTTTGACGTTTAGCTGCAACCCGGCTTTTGCGCTTTCTTCTTTCGCCTTGATTAGAAGGCTCCTCGGCTCCTCCTCGCTTTCGGCCATCAGAGTGGTGTCATCTGCATATCTGAGGTTGTTAATGTTTCTTCCAGCAATTTTCACCCCAGCTTTGCATTCATCCAGCCCCGCACATCGCATGATGTGTTCTGCATACAAGTTAAAAAGGTTGGGTGAGAGGATGCAGCCTTGCCGTACGCCTTTCCCAATCTTGAACCAGTCTGTTGTTCCGTGGTCAGTTCTGACTGTTGCTCCTTGGTCCTTGTACAGATTCCTCAGGAGAGAGACAAGGTGGCTTGGGATGCCCATCCCACTAAGAACTTGCCACAATTTACATAAGCATATCTAAATATAATAGGGGCCGCCTAAAGAAAAAAAAAGTTTTTTCTTTCTGTATTCGCTCATAAATGTTGATATTAATCCTGAACGCTGGATTTTTCCTGGCATCTGAAAATCTCTTTGAGCATAATGCAACATCATGCTGGTGTGCATTATGGAATTTCTCACCGTCATCCACTGTAGGAGCTGTTCAACTCTTAGCTCTGACTTCTGCTTGTTTTTTTTTTTTTTGGGGGGGGGGGGTCTGCAATAGAAAAGAAAGATACCTTTTGCCCATTCACAATATTCTTCTGTTGTGTTAAATGACATCCAGCATTAGTGTCATCTCCTTGATTATTTTCCTGCTACTTTCCATTGCATTTTTGCACTATTTTTCTATAAGCTAGGATTTTATTTTATTTTATTTTTGAACATCCGATTAGTACTCCTATACTTGCTAGTTGCTGTATTGATCTTTGTCTCTAGTGAAGCAAATGGAGGATCACAATCATGCAACAGAATGCATATGGAATTTGGGACCAGAGTGTTGTTTTGATATGTGTTTTACATCAAAAAAATGCAGCAGATGTTTTCTATGATCATTTCTTTTTGATGTTTTCTGCTCAGATAAGACTGTTTAACTTGTGAAAAACAAGTTTCCATAAAAATAAATTTCATACTGTTCAAAGGGTCTGTATGTCTCTGGGTGGGGGTGTATGTGTGTGTGTGTGTGTGTTCACGTCCTTGAAATTAATGTATGTTTAAGCAATGTCACCGAGAAGAAAGTTCATTATAAAAATATTTTATATTCTTATCAGAAAAGAACTAACATGTAAACTAGATGATGGGGGTAGAGAGAAGCAAAGAGAGGAAACTGAGGGGTTTGGAGAGGCTATGAAGAAGTAAATTTATTTATATACATTTTTCAAGTGTCAATACCAACATACAAACTGAACTTCTAAATAGTATTCAAGAAATGTGATACAAATATTGAAAGATCAAGCAAATTGGATACATACACAGAAATACTATAGCAGGAAAATATGCATTAATGTAAAGGCTAAAACTGTTCCCATAACATTTTAGTCATTCTTGTAAGCCGCTCCGAGCCCCAGGGGAGTGGCGGCATATAAGTTTAAATAATAAATAAATAAAATAAATAAACAAATTGTAAGAGAAATACAAAATTTGACTTTTAATTTAGTAGACAATAGAAGCAAAATTCTTCTAAAAGACTATATAGAAATCATGCACCAGAATATGGTAAAATTTAAATCAACCTAAAATGTAGTCAGTATCTCTGCATACATGGTTTCCTGGGCATATTGCCATCCTGTCCAATTTTTATGCATGAAAATACAATCAATGTACTCATGACAAGTAACCACCCAGTCATTGTTTTAGAACCTGCAGAGAAGGAGACTCAATCACGCTCCTGGTCAGCTTCTTTCTCTGCTGAACAACTCTTATAGTCAGAAGGTTCTTCTTTATTTATTTATTTCAAGCATTTATACCCCGTCCTTCTCACCTCCGAAGAGGGACTCAGGTCGACTTACAATATTCACCCATCAGGTGCCAACACAGTACATTAAAAAATCACAGATACAATTAGACAAGTTAAAACAATTATAAAACATTCAATTTAAAAAGAGTTTGCCAGTTCAAAACATATTCCAAGGCCGTCTGTTGTGGTCACTAAAACATTCTCTTTCCAGTTATTCCATCTATTGTTCAAAGGCTTGACCCCATAGCCAGGTTTTAAGTTTTTTACTAAAGCTGAGGAGGAAGGGGTCAGATCTAATGTCATTTGGGAGGGAGTTCCACAGCTGAGGAGCCACCACAGAGAAGGCCCTATCTCTCGCTCCCACCAGATGCGCCTGCAAAGGTGGTGGGACCAAGAGCAGAGCCTCCCCAGATGATCTTAATGTCCTTGATGGTTCGTAGAGGGAGGTATGTTCCTAGGTCTTAACTTAGTACAGTGGTTCTCAGCCTATAGGTCCCCAGGTGTTTTGGTCTACAACTTCCAGAAATCCCAGCCAGTTTATCAGCTGTTAGGATTTCTTGGAGTTGAAGGCCAAAACATCTGGGGACTCACAGGTTGAAATCTACCAATTTAGTGTGGGGGGAGCTTTTTTTTGTTTTTTGTTTTGGTTTGTTTTTTTGCTCTACTATGGTATGCCTATTTAAAACAAAATAGGGAAATCTCTTTGTCTACATGGTCCCATTATATAATTTGGTTATCTGGTTATATATTGGACTAATCTGATGAATGCTCAGATGTGTCCATTCTGAAGGTTATTGAGGAAAGTATATTATATAGTATTTGGTTACTTGTATGAAATTTAATCAGTACATTTACTAACCAATATCCATCTTTTCTTCCCCCCCCCCCCCCCCAAAAAAAAAACCTGTTTCATTTCAATACTAAACCAGCTAGAAGAACTTCCAGGTCCAATGTTTTGGGAAAAAATGACAGACTTAAGACTACTCTACCTTCATGATAATGGAATTTCAGCATTAGAGAATGTACACTCATTATCTTTCTGTCCTAATCTGACTGCGCTTACCTTGTTCAATACTCCACTGTGTCTGAAAATTGCCTATAGGCACATTGTGGTTAACAGCATTTTTTCACTCAAGGCACTAGACTGTTATGTCATTTCTGATGAAGAAATCATGGAGGATTGGAGGCTTCCAGCAATATATAAGCCATTTTCTCCTAGCTTTTTTGTTGATTTTTCCCCTGTTTCTGGAAAGGTAAGCAAACTCAATAGCCTCATTTTTGGGGGGTAGCCTTGTTAAGTTTTCAAGTATGTTGCAATAATCCGTATTCATTAGCTGATGTTTAGCCACTACGTTTTGCATTCAAAGTTCTAGAAATACATAGATTCTCTCTTGAGAAAGACCTGTGCAGATACTCTGTGAAATGTTGCTGGATAATTTGTTTTCTCAAAAGAAAAGTATAACAGATCTATCTCTTTGAAGAATATTTATGAAATATGTTTTTAGTTACAGTTAGGGCCCTTGTGCTGCAGCTGCAGGGCTAGTCTGTTTGACTAAATGAAGTCAAACTATTACAGAAGAATGTGAGTCCTCTTTCTAGCATGTAAGGCAGGAACGCGCAACATGCAGTTCTCCATATGGACTGTACTAACCAACTCCAATCAATCATACCTTGGGGTGAAAAGGAGTTGGAGTTGGTGGTGACATATGTAAGTCCACATTTTTCCCAGTCATGCCAGATAGTATGATTTCAAAATAGTATTTAACAAATTCAGTTATGTTGCCTTTTCCTGTAATTAGACTTTAGTGAGTTGAGAAGGGCATGAGGAAGCATGTAAAACAGATGTATCAAGTTGGTCACTGAGTGTAAATAAAGAGCTTTGGCCTAAGATATGAAATCGTGGACTGAAAAACATGGCAGAGATTGATTTTTAACTGTCTCAGACTCGTCCTTAAGAGCATGCTCTCAAGTTCTGTTTCTTTCCATGTTCCACTGCTCTACAAAAGAGACAGTGCCTAGAAATCCTTTGGCTGCCTTCTAGCACTCTGTGAGCTCTGTCTTGCTCTTTGTTGCAAGCACTGATTGCAGTGGATATACACAGGGTGATTCCTATGGTATGAGGAAACCTACAGGATTCAGATGAGGAACTCAAGACTGCAGTTCGATAGCACTGGCAGTGCCTGGATTTGGCACCTTAGCAATATCCACTAGTGAGATTTCTGACTTAGCTACTCCTTCTGCCTCTTTGTCAACATCTAGATTGTGGTTGGATTCATGACAATTGTACTTATGAACAAGGACAAGAACAAGGACAAAGCTCATGCAAATGGGTGCTGGGGCTATACTACAGTTCTCCTCAAACTTCAGCATTGAGTAATTATAACAGTTGAGCAAGATGTGAGAAAAAAATGGAACCTTGCAGGACCTCAAGGCAAGACCAGAGTCAATAATGTGTCAAAACTCACTGGATTCAACCTGCCAAACTGATAATGGACACATGTAGTTGAAAATAACATCTTTGGTGAATTCTCAATCATTGTAATATTAGTTTACATTTTTTATATCTCCCATCCCAATCCCACTTCTCTAGTAGCTAGTGAAGGCACAGATATTTATAGTGTGAAGGTATAAAAACTGATATATGTCACAGAAGGTAGTTGGAAGACTTTGCACTTTTAGTATTTGCTTCCTTACTAAATGGAAAAAACTGGAAATTATGATGGAGTTTATGATCTTTTGTGTGTTCAGTTAAGAAAATTCAAAGGCAATCTCTTACCAAAATATGCCGAGATCACAAAAAAAAAAAAAAAAAAAAAGAAGGCCTGGCCAAGATGACACATTAAAAGTTATTTCTCCAAAATGCTGTTCTACAAAAGTTGATTTTAAAGACAGTGTGTTTTAATTTACATTGATATAACATTCTCATTTTTAATAGGAAATTACATATCAGGAAGAAATGAAAATGATAAGAGAGATAATTTCCAAGATCAATTTTGTTCTAGCTCATCATTCACCAGTCCTGATTATTCAGAAATGGATAAGAGGATATTTAATTAGAAAAAGATTGTGGTGAGTATATTTTTTGCTTAATTTTAATCAGGAGATTTTTTTTTTAATGGAGAACAGATTTTCTAATTTAAGTTGGCTTCTCAAAGTTTTTACCAAACACATAAACAAGTCCGTAATGCATTAAAATATGTGCCAAACCTTCTTAAAATGTATGCTGGAACAATTAGAAACTATTGAATATGGAGATATCTTCAGCTTATTTTACTGAAATATTTCAAAAATGAAGGATATAGTTTCTGATTCTTCAATCTATGGAGCACTTTCTTGTATTTTTCAGCATTGTGGAAATTTGTATGGCTAACAAATAGCTCATTATTAATATATGGCTGCATACATAGTGATTTGAATTGTTCTACAGTATACAAATTATCCATGTGATCACACCATCAAAACCACTTAGATTATAAACATTTCCAGCAGAGATTTTTTACTTAAAGATGCTGCTGTCATTATTCTGATGGAAAGTCAATACATATAAAATGTACAAGAAATATGCCATAGTCAATAAGGCAAACCATTCTGAGCCTTTATTGAATTAACACCCTGGTATCAAGTTTCAAGAATGAATCCTTCAGAACATAACCTGATCTTGGCTTTGTAAACTGGAAACCCTGTTCTATAGAGTTATCTGCTGTAGATATTTATATACGAGGTACATAATGACAGAAAAAGAGTCCACTTCCTTACAGAGCTGCTACTTACTGATGGATTAGTTTCATATTATGTTGGCTAGTGTCCTGCTAATCCGGCCCATCACAGATTTTGTTCCCACCTAAAATATCAAAATTAAAAAATAAAGGTATTTTGAGTATGTTTTATTTACATGTCCTTAGGTTGTCTACACTGAGTTGAAATTATAGTTTTGCAAACATGCTCTACAAGTACTGTGGATGCTATCTGCTATGTATATAGTATTGTAATAAATAGGCTAATGTCCTCTATGTGAACACTTTTATTGGAAAAAAATGAAACACAGAAGGATTTGTTCTTGAGCAGAGTGCCTTGAAAACACACAAACCTGCCAAAATGTTAAACACAAAGACTAAATTATAAACACCTCTGTTTTACAGTAATTAATATTAGTTTGTCTGGTTCTAAAGCTGTAGAAGTAGCTCTTGGCAGATAGTGTTATGAATGTTAAATATTTTATTATCTATTACCACGATGTGGAAAAGATACCTGGCACGCTACATTTTCTGAAAATTGGGTCTTGGTTGCCAACATCACAGTTGGTCTAGAACAGCAACTAAAAACTGAGTAAAAAAAATAGAAACTTAATTGTTCAGATGTTGCTTCTACCACCATTCAGCTAAGTAGTTTATCTAAAGGCATTCAAACACTCTGTCTCAGTCTTAGCCTGCACCCAAAATATGTGTCAGCTGCAGTGATATAATACATGTAAATCACTTGGAATACTGAAATGTTCCAGTCAGATAGTGACCACATTCCAACTTCCTCATAATACCAATTTTGGTCTAAGAATGTGTATGACACATAGCATGATTATCCTGAGTTCATAATGTTCTCGGGAGGGTTTGCTTCTAGGCTCCTTGTGGATAACAAAATCCATGGATTCCTGAGTTCCATTGTTTACAGTGGTATAGTAAAATGGTATCCCTTGCACACATAGATCAAATGACTGCTGGAGAGAGCCTGAGGATTTGTGAAATGACAGCAGGGCATGCCTACACATCAGCATAGTTCTTGACTTGCCACAAAATTAAGATTTGCTTTTTGGAATCTTTCCTTCCGCTGAACATTTTCAAGCTGTGCTGACTGTACCGTGTTTCTCTAAAGTTTGCAATTACATATTTTTACATCTTCAAAAAATATTTTATTATGTTTTTAGGGGTAGACTCAAGATGTAACAGTAATGTTTTAATGCTGTGAGATATAATAACACAGTATTCGTTTCAACCATTTGAGTGATGGAACTGCAGAGCAGGCTTTTCAGTGTGTAGTGTGGAAAAGTATTGCTTACACTGGTGGCTTCCATGTCATTGGTGCAACAAATTTGCTCTGTTCTTTGGGGGGTGGGTGGGATTGAACTTAGTATTTTGAATAGCTCTGTTAAAGTTTGGAGGAAAAACCCCAAGTGGATTTGTTTCCTTTCTGAAATGGAAACTACCAACTGCCAGTCGTGGAAGGGAGAAGAAGGAAGCCAAGTTGAATGAAGAAATATCCATAAATGTGATGCTGGAGTTTGAATAAGGAATTTTTCAACACAGTTTTTCTAGAAATCTGAGTACACAGATTTATTAACTTTTGACTTATCTTTTTCTTTAAACTATCTGGCTAGAGACATACTATAGGCAACCTCTTCATGTATTTTGACTGCATAACAGAAATTTATTCTTCAGCCTTTCTGATGAGCTGGGTTTTGAGCATATTGTAACATCTGGAGGTTTTGTGTGTGTGGACATGCTATAGTAGTAAGCTGTCTTGGTTCTTTATTCTTTTGGGGACAAAGACATAATTGTAGATTTGTCCAGTATTTTGTAACAAAATGTAACATTATTATCATGGTATCATGGAAGTGAATTGGATTTCATTTATGGAGTTGCACTGTAGAGTAGACATGTATAGAGTTGCCCTAGAAAAGTGTTTTCTGACGGTTGCTATAACAATATACTTTAAACAACTGGAAAAGCAGTTGTTGCCAATTGTTTTGGAGAGAAAACGACAATTTTAGTATATGAAAACCTTTGAAGATGTGAGACTCATCATAGTTTATTTTATCTAATTATCACAGACTTGTGGTGGTCCCCATTTATATAACCTTCAATTAATGAAAATATGCTGTCATTCAGATGCATAAATGTGATATTAGACATGATGAAACATATATAGGACACTACTATGTGTTTTTAATCTGTTTTTCAAAACATCAAAGGTAAGTAAATATAGAATTAATAAACACTGACATACCATAACTAAAACACAGATTAGAATTTGCATTAAAACAATTGATCATATAGACAAATTTGTCAGAGTTGATGTGTTCTGTAGTATTTCAGAATCCAGTCACACCAGTCACAAGTCTATCCTTTCATGTAGTCTACAAAAGGAATTTTAAGGAACATATTAAATATCTTAACATGTCAATCTGGAACACACTGATGCAAATTCTGTTGACTCTATATAAAAAGTGAAAAGTATGAAAATACACTTTACAGAGAAAAGACAGGGAAGTGCAAGGGATGCCTGCTTCTGCTGCTGCTGCTGTTGTTGTTTTGTTGAGGATGAATTTAACCAAAATGCCATCCAGGTGGTTTTAGCAGCAGGAAAGGCCTTTAAAAACAGATGTTCACTCCTGAATCACTTTAAAGGTTTCTCTTGGGTCTAAAATCACCCATAAGAGACCAAAGCTGTGTAAAATTGCTTCTACCCATAAGGATAAAAATAATTTTAAATCTTGGTGGAACCATTTACCTTGCTTATCACTGATTGCATAAGGTTTTCCAGGAAGTCAGCAAAATGGCTAGGTAGAAAATATTGGAACCAAGCATTTTGAAGCTCTCCAAGAATTAATGAACAATTTTGGTGTAATTCTATGCTTGTGTATTTCCAAGAAAGTCCTTGACAAGGTTTTTGAATAACAAGCAAGCATTCTTTTGGAGTTTGCTTATTTATTTAAGAAATTTATACTCCACCTTTCTCCAATTAAGAGCCAAAGGTGGCTTTCAACAGAAAAACATGCATAATGGAAGTTAAAACATTTTAAACTAAATATTAGTAGTTGCTGTCACACGTCCTAAAACATACATTAAACTATCATAAAATATTAAAACTTTAAAACCATCCCTAAATGCATCATACAATGTCAGTTCTGACATTGTCCCGATGAAATGTTCATCTTTATTGAGCAACTGATTCTGAAGACCATCAAGCACACCGGCCTTTCTCTTTTCAAATGACAAGCAAGGAAATGCCAAAATGAAATACTTGAAACAGTCTCTTTCAGTTGGCAAAACTTTAACAAATTGCTTTATTAGACCCAATTTTATGTGCAGATGTGGGAATATAATGTTCTTTCTGTTAACAAGGATCCTGTCCACATCCTCCGGCTGCACAAATTGAAAGAGATGCATCAACACTGGACAAGCAGGAGCCACAGTTACATCAATTGGAACTATGTCAACACACCTAACATCAAGCAATTGATGGCACAGCAAACATATGTAATATATAATAATTTCACATAATAATAATTATGTTGAGTAAAAGTATTTATTCATTCTTACGTTCCATAAGACAGGGGTTATTCAAAATCCTTAATAAGGATTCTAAAAGAAACTTGCATAAGATTCATAAAACTTTATCCTGGTATAAAGTAAGCTCAGCTCATGAAATATTCATCATGTCAAAAGTATCTACAACTAAGTCAGGCTCCGACTGTTGAGAATTCTGAAGATTCCCAGGGGATAGGCAGAGGAGGCAGGAGAAGATTGCTGACAAATACAGAAGGATCAGAAAGAGGAGCTACTGGACACCTTTCTTTCTCTTTCTTGTTCAGTATTGCTTAACCTTGCTGCCCTATCCTAGGGTAGAGAGAGAATCCTTTCTGGAGGAATTGCCGCTTGCCAAACTTCTCAACTGTATTGGAGCTGTGGAACGATCTTTGGGAAGTGTGGGAGGGGAATATTTCTTCTTCTCTAAGGGTGCATCCAGACAGCTCGCAGAAAATGGAAGCTCCTATACTTTTTACCTGGGGCGTCCAAACGACACTTCAGGTAAAAGCAAATTAATTCAGCACAAAACAGGAAAACCTGAATTAATTAGTGCTGAATTAATTAGGTACTGGATTAGACCCGGGTCTTCCTGAGAGTGTGGCTGCTGTCTTGATTGCCTCCTCAGAAATCTTGTCAGTCCAGAAAACCCAGAGGGAGCCATTATCCATGCTCCGGGGGGGGGGGCAGGAGGAAAAGAGCTCCTGCCCCCCTTCTCCTGGCACATCATTTCAATGTGCCAGGAGAGGGCTGGCAGCAGGCTAATGGTGG